TGTGTGTGTGTGTGTGTGTGTGTGTGTGTGTGTGTGTGTGTGTTCCATGAACTTTATGGCTGTTCTTAGAATCAGAACCTATACACTCAGCAAAGGCACTTATGTAACGCTGAGCTCATAGTCGACTAATTGAATTTCCTTTGTCTGAAAAAGATCTTAAGTGGTTTTGCAGTCCAGATCATTGGGTCAAGACTCATTTAAAAATCCTTTAATGCAGGGGTTCTTAACTTTTCGACCTTGGGGCCAAACTTGTTGAATCTAAATTGGAGCAAGCCCCGTTCAGATATAAACAATGTACTGATCAAAGTGATAACTGATCTAAATCTTGGTTTAATTTGTAGTTTATTTGCATTGTAAATAAATAAAATGCACATACAGTTTAACACGCAAAGGCCTTGTCAAATAAATCATGACATGATTGTGACAAACATGTACATACCTGCCAACATTTTCTGGTGGCAGTGAGGGACATTAAACACGTTAGCATGTGCCAGCTGCACAATGTGATCCTAGGAGAGTCCAGGTGCATACCCCCCCAGAAAATTTAGAAAAAAATCTTCTCAAAAATATGCATTTTCCAGCCATTTGAAGTGCATTTTTTCTTAGGATACTTAGGTTACTTGGAATTAATAAAAACATAATTCTTCATTTATTGCCTTCAACTTTTGGTTTAAAATGTTTCCATTTCTCAAACTTTTGCTAGCAGCAGGCTAAGGTTCTTCTTCTGTGTATAAAAAAATGTTGTCAAACATCTGAATGGTGCAGTACCGCTACTAGTGGCAAGAAAGTGTATTACAACTCAGTCAATTAAAAACCAATGACATCCTGACGCCCTCAGGCCCATAGTTGAGAAAAAGATTTTTTTCTTGAGGCCCTCAAGGTGGCGATAGCGGCTCAATTGTGAGTTGCAGCTTGGGATGCACCGTTATGAAAATTTCAGCTGATATGGATATCCGAAATTATTGGTGTTATTCCCAATAACCGATATTTACCAATATTACACAAATGCACAAATTATTTATATACRTGTACCCACAAATACACTTGTCTTTTTTCAACAACGTAAAAAAACAACCAGACCGCTGATGTGGCGCTCTACTTCTGTTATTCCTGGCTGCGCAGCATCACTAACACTAGCACGATCAAACAAATACCTTTCAACCAACCATTTCCCCTCCCAAAACCAAAACAAAAAAGCTAAGATATGGGAAATCAATATCAGACGTTAATATTGGTCCAATAGAGGTGGGAATCTTATACTATCTCACGATTCAGTTTGATTAGATTCAAAATCAATTTTTCATTCAAAACTAATAATATGATCCCATTTGTCATGTTCCCAAAGTGCTCCATTTTCATTGTGCAAACCTTGCACACAATGAAGCTCATATCAAACTCATTTAGTAAAAATAACAAAATAATCCCAAATCATTGCCTTCAACAAAGATGTGGCTGATTAAATTTCTCTTTACTCCATTTTTGTAGTTTCCTCTTTGTTTTGGTGCTTTCTGCGCATTCATTCATTCATTCATTCATTCATTCATTCATTCATTCATTCATTCATTCATTCATTCATTCATTCATTCATTCATTCATTCATTCATTCATTCATTCATTCATTCATTCATTCATTCGTTCGTTCCAGAACCTGCTACATGTTGACGTCAGGGCATCCCACATAGTTACAAAGTAGAGGCTGACAGCCATTGAATTTGTTCGTTAAATTTTTAAAAATTTTTTATCGATTTTTGGATATTTAAAATCAATTCTGAATTATTGTAAAAGAGAATCACAGTTCTGATGTGAATTTTTTTTTTTTTTTGGTGCACCTCTACGGCCCAGTTTTACTTATCGGACTGATACAGATATTCTCAAAAATGACCAACATTGGCCGATACCGATGTTAATGCCGGAAAAATTCTGCATCTCTAGTCACGGCTCATGGGTTAAGAAACTCTGCTTTAATGTAGATCACAATAATTGTCTTTTCGTGTCCCTTCTTCACTTTTTCCACCTTGTCTCTCTTCCAACTGTGTATCATCCTCACTTTTTCCCTTTTATCTTTTCGTCACCAGATCTCTGAAAATTTTTACTTTGACCTGAACTCTGATCAGATGAAGGGATTGCTGAAGCCTCACACGCCTCACGTAGCCATATCCACACTGGCTCGCTCTGCCATCTTTTCCATCACATACCCTTCCCCTGATATCTTTCTGGTCATCAAGGTACTTGGAAGCCTAAAAGATGTAAATTAAGCATGAATATTTCTGTGTAGTGGGAATAATCATAAGCACGAGTTGTATTTCAGCTTGAAAAAGTCCTTCAACAAGGAGATATCGGTGAATGCTGTGAACCCTACATGGTGATGAAAGAGTCTGATTCCTCTAAGGTACTGAAACTAATGTGTGTTACTGTTGCAACACTTTGCACTTGCAGCCAGTGTACACGTGGACCCTTTTTAAAGTCTGGCCACACATATTACCCAATTCTGTCTGGATAAATTTCAATATCTATCGTCCTGTTTGATCGGCTCACGCCATCGGCTGATTCAGCATATTTTCATCTCTCGTGTTCTTCTGCAGCACAAAGAAAAACTGGAGAAGCTGCGTCTTCAGGCAGAGCAGTCTTGTGCTCGTCTCGGCCGTTTCCGCATGCCCTTTGCCTGGACGGCCATTCATCTGCTCAACATCGTCAGCAGCGTGGGGAGTCTCGATCGGACGGACCCAGACTCCGACTCTGGTACTTGCTGATTCCAGATGTCGTCTCTTTTATGCACACTGTTCGAAACGTCCCCCTCTCTTTCCTACAAAGTGCTCAACCGACTGTTTTAGCAAAAGTGTCTAATTTAATTGACATGGTTTGTTTTTTCTGATAGAACGGAAGGGTCACGGAACCTGGAATGAAAAAAAGAAGAAGGGATTCGAGAGGATGAGTGTTGGGGATGAGATGTGTAACTTTGCTACTTTCCGCCCAGCGACACTCACAGTAACCAACTTTTTCAAACAGGTCTGGGTAATTTTGATGTTAATGACTTGTTTAGTAGTTGTCTTTTTTCATACTGTAGTGTAAAATAGCCAAATTAACCGTTGTTCTGTGATTAAAATGTTAGAATAGGAGGAGAAACTTTAGACAGAAAACTTGAGTGTTTCAGACTCAAACTTCTTGCCTTTTGCCAAATGAACACTAGAAATAGGTGCTAGCTTCCCGCGACCCTGAAAAGAAGAAGCGAATCATTCAGCTGGACTCTAAAGTGGAACTGCAATGCTTTGGTCTAAATTAATTTTTATTGTAACTCCACAATCCCCTCTTTCACCCCTTTTCTGAGGTGTGTCTCAGATCAACACGTTTTGAGGCTGTCTCTTTAAATCCAAACAAAGTGCTTCACACCYCGCCTCCCTCCAGCTTCCTGACTGGTTCATTCTAGTTTGATAGAGGGGGTTTACAAATATATAATGACGCAGAAACTTTAAAAGATGTCAACAACAAAGACTTGTCCAGCCAGCCTTACATGTTGGAGCTTGTTGACGTCTTTTAGTTAAAACTGAACAGGTTGAAAAATATGATCCAMAGAGAACATAAAGATATCTATGCAGCACCGGGAGAGACTAAATTAAAATTTTCTGCACTCCTAGAGACACCAAGTACTCAACAAAATACATTTAGAGGCTAAAAATTTGGATTTTGCATTAAGTGTCTCTTTAAACTGATTAAATAAAGCTGAATAAGGATCACTTTTCTACACCAACCTAGTTGAAGAAGTGCTGTTTTGCAGCTACAGCAACAGGAAGCAACTCTTCTATTCTGTCTACCTCCTCRCCTAAAATACATTTAAAATTTTCTAACTACGCCATGACAACAATTTTTATTTTGGGATTTCCCCTCTTTCTGGCTCACTTTATCACAACGTGCAAAAATAAACACCAATTGGACACAGGACACTCTGTGATGCTCTGCATTAGGAAACAAATGTTGCCTGAATGAAATAGGAACCCTTAATGTAGCTTGTCTGCAATTTTTATTGAATATATTATTTTAGTTAGACTATTTAATTTACTTTTTTTTTCAAAAAAGTTATTCATTTCATTAAAAAAACAAATAACTATATACAATAGAAAACAAAGAAAATACACAAATTAAAAATCTAAAGAAAATGAAAGGTAGCAGAAGAATAAATCTTATGTCTGCCCCTTTTAATCTCCAGAGTATATTCAAACAAAATATAATTTAAAAATAATACTAAATAAAAAACATCAACTCAAACAACAATTCTTATAGATTCACATTTTACTTTCCATATATCTTCAAAAAACTTGCTTTTATCTTTCTCTTAAATATATACATAGATCTGGCATTTTTAAGATCAGCCTCCAGACCATTCCACAATCCTATCCCCTGGATAAAGTACATCTTTCTCTCAAGCAAGTACGAATATATAGCTTCACAAAGATTTCTATCCCCTTAAGATAATAACAACTGTTTATCTTAACAAAGTTTACCTGAATGTTGGAAGGTAATATGTTTCTGTGAGCCTTGTACATAAACAGTAAAATATTTTCATAGAATTTCAAAATTTTCCGTTTGCAAAATAATGTATTTGATGGATGGTTATAATCTTTTCTCGTGATAATTCTTACGACCCTTTTCTGTAAAACAAAATTCATTCCAACTTCATTCCAACTGCAGTTAGACTGTATAACACATCATGATGTTATCAGTCACTTGGACAATTCACCTACACTGCCGTCACTAATATGCACCTTCATATACATTAATTTATTTACTGTACTAGGTATATGTACATTGTTATATATCACGAGTATAGTGTTTTTTGTTGGTTTTTTTTTTGCTTATCTTTCTTTATTCTATCTTACCCTGTCCTGTTTTGAGCTGCTGTAATGTGCAAATTTCCCCACTGTGGGATAAATAAAGTTTTATCTTATCTTATCTTATCTTAAAATTGGTTTTGTAATTGTTTTGAAAGCTTTACCCCAGAATTCAATACAGTAAATTAAATGTGGAACAATTATTGAATTGTACAACATAAGCAGAGCCTTGTCATTAAATAACTCACAGACTTTATACAGTACTCCAGTAGATTTAGATATTTTTGTTCTTAAATAATGTATGTGAGGTCTCCATGTCAGCTTGTCATCAATGATGACACCCAGTCATACTTTAAAGTATGATGATAAATAAACTGTTCAGTCCTATCATCCAAAATGTAGATCTCTCCGTTTCCTGTACTTTTGATCAGTGTTTTGTATGTTCCTCAGAAACTTTCTTTTGAACTAAAAGCCTATTATGAGTATATTATGAACCGTGCTTCTCTGTTTGTGCACCAAGGAGGGTGATCGACTGAGTGACGAGGACCTCTACAAGTTTTTAGCAGATATGCGCAGGCCGTCCTCTGTCCTGCGACGACTCAGGCCTGTCACAGGTAAACACGGCAGGCTCTCATTATCAACATCTTCCTGCGTGACGGTCGATTCTCTGATGTAATATTTCCTGATCTTTTATTTATTTATCGATTATTTATTTTTGTCTTTTAGCTCAGTTGAAGATCGACATATCCCCAGCCCCAGACTTGCCACACTATTGTCTGTCACCAGAACTGCTGCACGTGAAGCCKTACCCTGACCTGCGTGTTCGGCCAACCAAAGAGGTGCTGGAGTTCCCAGCGCGCAACGTATACACACCGCACACCACGTACAGGTGAGTGTTCAGCTGTCAAAGGTGCACGCTCGCAAACAGAAGCTTTGACCTGTTGAGCAAATGCACCTGATCGATGCATGCGTGCCTCTCTGTGTAAGCTTTTATTTTTCTGCCTTCAGGTCAATCTGTAGTTTTACACAAGCAGGATAGAAGATATCACAAAATAAACTCTTTTTTAACACGTTTTTATTGACATGATGTAGTACTTTTAAAAGAAAAATACATGTCGCTTTTTTATACTTGTTTAAAAAAACATTCTAACAAAGTTTTCAATAATTTAACAACCTATTTTTTTATATTTTCTTTTTAAAACTTAGCTATGAACACGAAGACACAAAGGATACACAACAAGCCACATCAAACAGGACAAAACCTAAGCTTGCATGAAAGTATTTGGTGAATACTCGTTCGATCTACAGCGTATGTTGGTCAGAAGGGAGTGCAGTGACATTGAGGAGTTGCAATCTAGAAGGACTCTTGGAACTTGAAACCACTACATTGCTCTAGTCTGGAAGAAGGAAGTAAAAYAACAACACTGGTGAAATGAAATTGATTAAAATTAAAAGAAAAAAAAAGTGTTAAACAAGCAATTTACCATTTTTTGCAGTTTGGAGAGCTGCTCGTTCTGATTTTTGAGATTCTCTTTTTGAAACTGGGTCAGGAGTTGTAAACCCTGCAGGATGTTGGAGTGCTCCTCAGCCCGATCCTAAAAGCAGGGATTAAAAAGAAAAACAAAAACATTGTTTATTTGATTCTTAAGATGATGAGTTACTTCTGAGTGGCCTTGGCTAGTTTTCAGATTTACCTTCAGCTCCTTGATGCTGTGAGGTGCAGAGTTGTTCAGATACGTCTCCAGCCTCTTCACTTTTGTCTTCAGCTCCTCCTCGTCCTTCTCGATGCCGTTCAGCTGGGTTTTAGTCATCAGAGTCTGAGCCTGTTGCTTTGCCATCTGGGCCTGACAAAAGAGCATCTGCTCGTGTTATTCTCTTCTTCGACAACAATCTCGGTGAAGCTGGCAGCTGCCTGTCCTAGAATGCAACGTGCATCTCTCTACCGCTCTTGAATGAAAGAATGTGCTCTATACATGAACAGGAGAGGAAAATGCAGTGAATGAGGTGATTTTTAAAAAGAATTAATTTGCTGTTGAAGCATTAACGGCAGTATAGGATTTATTATAGAAATAGTGGAGGCGTTTGTCTGTTTTTGTTGTGTCTACAGCTGTTTAATCTTGATGTCGAAAAATGCTCCTGCACATTTTTCCTAAATAACATCTCCGCCCGCTCCACATAAAGAACTCATGTTGACGTTCCGTTCTTTCCTACCTGCAGCAGCTGCACCTCTTCTTTTATCTGTTGCTCCGTCTCCGCGGCCTGCTCCGTCTGCTTCCCCAGCTTTTGGAGAGTATCTTCGTGAGCTTTCAGAGCGTTGCTGATTTTTTCCATCTTGGCCTCGGTGGTTTCGAACACGTAGCTGAGAGATTCGCTCAGCTGTATGACTCCGAACATGAGCACGTTGACTTCTTCCTGCGGTGCGGGCCTCTCTTCCATCCGGCCGGTCTTCCTGACGGGGTTTGCACGGGCCGCACTTAAACCCAGAGCTACACAAAGCAGGCTCAGACTCCAGATCATCCTGATAACTCTTTCCTGCTCACTTATTTAAAATATGCTGTTTTCTCTTACGGATATGCCCAGTTACACCTAAAAACAAATGGTTTGGCGTAAAGCTGATGCAAACTTAGAAGTGAATGGTGTGAAAATGTGTATTAGTCCCAGAGCTGTGCAGAGGTTGACATCAGCTGCAGGATGATGACTCTGAAGGCTTGTGTGCCTTTTATAGTGACTGCACACGCAGCGTCGTGGTCAAACATTAGCTTTTGTTGGTTTGATCTCATGTCCAGAACATGGCCTTGGTCTCAGTGACCTGCTCTTCACACACGATCACCTGGGCTCTAATTTTAACATTTAGGTCACAACCCCTTGCAACATACACACTAATCTATGCGAAAACACTGGTTTGAAGCTAAAAATAGTAATGAGAAAATATCAAAGTATGTGCAGTAAATGTTTTCTTAATGTTTTATTTTATACGGTGATGAGGCAGTTCCCCTTTGACATGACCAAAATCAGCTGTTTCAAAATATGAACAATATTTACCCCTGATGTTTGATTTGGACAGGGGGTGTTGACATTTACTAGTGAAAACTGTTGGGTCACACTTCTCTCCTGCGTGCACACTTACTGAAATTAAGACTTTTTAAGTTTTATCCTGAAAAACTGAAGTAAAAGGATGAGATATTGCTGACGTAGCTGGCAAAATGACAGAATAAGGAAGTAATAAAAGTTTACCAATGGCAGGTCTAGATTTATGAGTCTCTACTTTGGTCGTCTCCCATTTTTGCCTAATTTTTATGTCRTCTTCAACCTCTCAGGAACCTGCTCTATGTTTACCCACAAAGCCTGAACTTCAGCAGTCGTCAGGGGTCAGTGAGAAACATCGCTGTGAAAGTTCAGTTCATGGCAGGAGAGGACCCAAGTCAGGCTTTACCGGTGGGTTACATTCAAGGACAWCCATGTGACGTGGCTGTAACGCTCTTAGGAAAATGAAATGTCGTACTGACTTATGAGTAGACGTAGGGATGTGCTCTTTAAAGATCTACACTGCAAACATTGCCTGACCAAGTCTTACAATCTTATCCAGCCAAAAGATATCTTTGATCTTGTTTTGAGACTGACAYARWAAGCAAGAGCAGTGTGTGTTAGATTATTAATCCTGTTAGCCTGGAAACTATCTTTATTTGAAGAAGTTCAATCAGATGGCWGATTATTTCTCTTAATTTATGTCTGAATCTTCTTAAATTAAGGAAAATCAGTTTCAAAACAATTGGCTGGATATAAGATTGTAGGACTTTGTTAGATGGATTATTGTTGCAGTGTATCCAATCACTGGCTGTGTCCAAATTCAGGTTGATTACGTCCCAGCGATGCACCAAGGGCCATCCAAATTCTAAGGCTCCTCCAATTGCGGTCCACAAATTTACCCTCCTTTTCCCCCGATGTGAGGGATGGGTCAGGTGTATCCTCAGCCCACCCTGTCCCAAGATGCATTGCAGCCAATCGGGAGATTTTCTTTTTTTGTTTGTTTGTTTTTTAATAAAAATCTGACAGTACAAAAATTGAAAGTTTGAAGCGATTGTGTTAGGTTTTTGTTATTTACATAGACATGCTTTTTAATATTCTTGTCAGAAATCATTGTATGAGCTCGTATTGCAGCTCCCCTAGTTATTTATGTGTTGCCTCTAAACTGATTTTGCTAATTTATAATATTATTAATATTAAAATATTTATATTGTGTTCATTTTGATCTATTTTTGATCTTCATTGCGTCTGTTTAGCACCGTCATGATTGTTAGGTGACAGGACATAAGCTGGGGTCAGGGCAGGATTGAAGCTGAAGACTAAACCGTCAAATTTACATCCACTTTCTTCYRGTCTTCACAGTCRATAAAGGACTCGRCCCACGTAGACCACGTAGGCTGGGTCCTTCRGAGGACRCAGCCCCTGAATTTGGACACAGCCATTTTCAGCATATCATCTAAGTTTCTATTTGGTTTTGCACAATTATTTAAAGCATATTTTAGCACAATGTTCTGCTAAAAAAAGGAAAAAAACCTCACGTCAAGTAGATTAGGACTGARAGATAAATAGTGTAAAAAGTTTGTAAATAAGAAAACACTTTCTATTCGAACAGGTTTTCTTTGGCAAGTCGAGTTGCGCTGAGTTTATGAAAGAGGCCTACACTCCCATCATCTACCACAACAAGTAAGGCTGAAACACCCGTCGATCCGCTGCCCGAGTCGCTCAGACTTCTTTATTCCAGTTGTCTTTTTGTTGAACGTTGTTTAACTTCTGCTCACAAGGTCCCCAGAGTTCTACGAGGAGATGAAGATGAAGATTCCTGCCAATCTGACAGACAACCACCATCTACTGTTCACCTTCTACCACATCAGCTGCCAGCCCAAACAGAACACTCCTCTGGAGACCCCTGTGGGCTACACAGTGAGTACACTCTTGGCTCACATTTAATGCTTTCACCCACACGCTTCACTTGTCTGACAGCTCTTTTTTTGTGGGAGCTCACACGTCTCTGTGCCTGCAGTGGATCCCTTTGATGCAACACGGCCGACTCCGCACCGGCTCCTTCAGTCTGCCCGTGTCTGTGGAAAAGCCTCCGCCTAGCTACTCCGTGCTCACTCCTGACGTGAGTGTTTTTCAATAAACTGTGTGAATATCAATTCGCCTGCCATCACCCGTTTCCTTGTGAGGCTCCGGTGAATGGAATGAGTAAAATTGCCCTCTGATAGGTTCAGCTTCCAGGCATGAAGTGGGTGGATAATCACAAAGGAGTGTTCAATGTCGAGGTGACAGCAACCTCCTCTGTTCACACTCAGGTACACAAATATGCTCATTATACTGAGTTTTGCTGCTTAACCACGTGCTGTTCTCTCCTACTGTTAAAACCTTAAGTGGTGTTAATTTAGTCTTTTAATAAATTAAAATGATTAAAAAGTATTTTTTTGTTAATAAAATAAAATATTGTGTATACCTTCAACCATTAAGTACCATACAGTTTTGAATAGCAGCTTTGTATGAATCTGTAGCATAGTTCTATACATTTCTAATATCAAATGCAAAATACTTTTATAAATGCTTTTTTTATAGATCTCTATTATTGTTGTACCTCTAGGATCCACACCTGGATAAGTTCTTTACTCTGGTTTACGTTCTTGAGGAGTACTCCTTCCCGTTCCGCCTCAAGGATGTAATTATAACCGAGGCAAACATGGAGGCGGAGCTGAAGGCCAGCATGGCAGCTCTGAGAGGGGCTCAGCTGGATACCTGTGTCAGGTTCTTACATCAGCTGCTCAACAAACTCATTCAGCTCATCGTGTACCCTCCAGTCATTGCAGGTCAAATTGGTGAGTGGATTGTTGTACAGTCAGTTCCACTTTAGGAAACCTGAAATGTTTTTTTTTTTTTTTTTGCAGAGGTGTATAGTAACGAAGTACATTTACTTTGTTATAGTGTTCAACTAAATTGCTCCGGGGGCCACAGTTAATGCAGGTCAATAGCTCAGGGGCCAAACATCCAGCAATTAAAGTCAAAAAAATAAACCAAGTATTACAAAGATCTGTTACCTTTGAAATAGTTTATTTTGCTGCATTTAATCATGAATAAAACATACAGAACCACGCAAAAGTAGTGATAATAAAACAATATCAAAAACAAAAAGAACACATTATGCCTACTGTTTAACACAAATATTATTTTGACATCTCTGACTTGCCAAATTTTAAACCAATTTTATTTTCACTTTCATAGTTTTATCTTCAACTGTTTGTAGTTTTAACTGTCTTGAGTGTGCGTAGAAAGCTTCTRGCCAAGATTCTGACATTTCTGTAGATACCAAACATGTCTATGTCTAACTAAAATAACTTATAAAAGTAGAAAACTGGGGTTTGGGCTTAACAGATGAGTGAACCAATCGGTGGGCCGAACTTTGGTCACTCACGGGCCGCCAGTTGAATATCCCTGTTATAATGTTTAAGTAATTTTATTATATTTTTTTGAGGATCTGTAATTTTACCAAGTATATTTTAAAACATAACTTTTACTGTTATTTTGTTCCACTCAAAACATTTTTGCTTTTTTACTTTAAAATTTTAACATCTCATAACATGTTACAAATACAGATATGTCCAGAACTCATGAAAGGAGTTGTTTATGCACTCTAAAAAAAAATTAAGTGTTGAATTCACTTAACCAAGTTTTGTCAAATGGTTCCAGCCAAGTTGAATGTAAAGCAATTTACACATTTTCTTTCACAGATAATGTGTAAAAAAACAATGTGCTCAACTCAGCTTAGTGAAACCAGTTGACTTTACTTATTTTTTATAGTGTGTAAAAGTACTTTTAC